CCTGCCGATCTGCTCGAGCTGAACCCCAAGGGTCTCGTCCCTGCGCTCAAGCTTTCCAACGGCAAGGGTCTGGCAGAGTCGACTGTGATGTAAGTCTCAAGCAGCCTCTTCATCCTCTCTAATTGATCTGGACTAACCTTTCCATTTCTGTGGCGTCCTCGCCCAGCCTGGAATACATCGACGAAAAGTACGGCGGTGGCAAAGCAGGCAAGTCGCTTCTTCCTCCGCTCTCGGATGCATACGATCGCGCTGTGTACCGTCTTGCTGTAGACAAGGTGAACCGCACCTTGATCCCTTCCTTCTACCGCTACCTGCAGGCGCAGGAGGTGGAGGCACAGCTCGAAGGTGCCAAGGAGTTCACTACAAACCTCGCCGACTTCGTCCGCTCCATGCCAGGCTCGAGCGGATTCTGGAACGGCCAAGGCCTCTCAATCGTCGACTGCACTGTTGCTCCCTGGCTGTATCGAGCCACCAACGTGCTGCGCCACTTCCGTGGCTTCGAGCCCAAAGAGCTACTGGAGCCGGGGCTGTTCGAGCGCTGGGAAAGCTGGTCTAGCAGCGTGTTTGAGCACGAAGCATTCAAGGCAACCACCTCGACGGACGACCTCTACCTCGACTCGTACGTGCGGTACTCTCAGAACCGCCCCATGACGTCGCAGGTGGCCGATGCCATCAACAAGGGACGCGGCTTGCCCTGAATCGCACGCCTACTGTCTAAGCTCGCAATTCATCTCTTCATTGATCTAAGATTGTACCTGATCACTCATTCACTGTGGACTCGACATCGGCACAGCGTGGTCCCGACGTTGGCCTCAGATGGCGGTGCACCGTGGGGACGGGAGTGAGGGTAGGTGGCCACTCGAGGTTGGTGGAGGTTACCACACGAATTTGAGCGACGGTGACCAAAACGCGCGGCTTTCGTTGGGATTTCTTCCAAGCTCGCCAAGCCGCATGGCTGTCTTCCGATGCACCGGGCTGCAGCTCTTGACACAACTCCAATCGTGCGGTCGACTTGGCTTCCCACCACCACCCGACACCTCCACCATGTCTACGGATAACAAGACCACCGAGGCCGAGATCATCGCTCGCCCGCTCCACTTCAAGGGCGGCAAAGTCGCTCCCAACCGTCTTGCCAAGGTAAGTCCAATAGCGGCGTCCGCGGCACAAAAAGCAGGCGACTGATGAAGCCCGGTTCCTGCATCGAAATAGGCTCCACTCGAAGAGACGCTCGCACGCACGGGAGGTGGACCGCCCAACTTTGCTCACTACGAGCTCTACCGCGCCTGGGCACGT